TAAGATACAATCTAGTGAATTAAAGAAACAATTAAAGCTACAATCTAATCAAACTCAATCTTGGGTTAAGACAACATTATTGAAACACTATTTAGGCTAAGACACAATCTAGTGAATAAAAAAGACTATCTGGTGAATTTAAAAACATAGTCAAATATAGCTAGAAAAGTTAATAATTATAAAGCTTGTCTTCAATTCTGAGGATTAAGGAGTATTGTGGTATTATTATTATTAGATTATATTATTAGATTATTATTAGTATCTATCCATGGCCTCCTTCAGTCGCAAAGCGACTATGGATCATCTCATGGAAATGAGATGAATGCCTGGGCATTAGCTGTGATTGGAATGATGTCGCCCACACATCAGTTCCCCTCACTACCACGCAGCTGTTGTATCCAAAGGAACGGCAGTGCTGATACAGCTTGGGGTCAGCGGCGTCACAGGTTCTGACAGAGTGTAGCACTGGGTGCTGCAAACTGCCTTAAAGCCGCCAGCTCCTGATTTTTCCTCAGGGTTGACTCCCGAAGTCTTTCCCATGATTGGGTATAGCTGCAAGGCAACAGAGGTTTGAATTCAGAGTTTTCCTGGAGAAGGAAAACTCTGAATTATTAGTCTAAGCATGCAGTATTTCATGTGGCTACACAGTCCTAGATGTGATCTACATACTTTGTCACAGCCGCATAACCATATTCTAATGAAGGGAAAACAGTCTGTTAAAGCTTAGATATAGTCTAAGTGAAGGTCAAGATCAAACACACAAAATCTTGTGAAATCCTTGTTCTATCCCTAACTGTTTTGTCTTCCAGAAGTAGTGTTGCTGCATGCATTGTTCGCATAAGAGATGGATTTGAATGTGTGGGAAATAGTTTAGTGTAGTTTGTATCTTTAGTTATTGTAATTGAAAGATGGATATTATGGTATCTTTGTGCTTCCATTCAAGGATTAGTGTATTTCTTTTATGACTGATATCACCATTGTTTCTGTTGTTTATTATGAACAGAGAGACAACTCTGTTGAGGATGTTGACCTGAAAGCTTGTAAAGGTGTTCATCTCCCTTTCTCAGCCAGCTCTCCACGGGAAGAGGAACTTTTGTTTGGGAACAAATTTGGAGCAGCTTTCAGGCTGAAACAAGGTAAGTTGTTTCAAGCAATTACGAAGTACATCTGGTTTTATTCAGTCACTTAATTAGTACATCTGGTTTGATTCAATGACTCATGCATCAGGTTTCATTCAATTAATTAATTAGTACATCAGGTTTGATAAGTTTTAATAATGGTACATCTTTAGAAGAAACAAAATAGTTCAACAAAACCAATGCATGTAGTGCTAAGCAATTAGTTGAAGGTTTATATTGATCACATCATATAGTTAGAGATTTTCATTGATAACATCATTTAATTACATTTACATTGATCACATCATCTGATTGTAAATTTACTTGATGATTTTTTTCATTTTTTTTTTTTTTTTTTTTAGAATTTCAGAGCATCAGTCCACACCAGACCACCCCTGCACACCAGAGTAATGTGCAAAAGAGACAATCTGATCCAGACATGACCCAGAATGTATTGGTTCCACAGCCCTTGTTCCATCAAGCTTCAACCCATAACCTTACTTCCAAGTCATTTCCTCAGAGAAAACAGCCTTTTAGTGAAACCCATCCATTGCAGCAGGCTACTTTCTTCCCTATGTCACAGAAACAAGTTTCCAACCCTCAGAAAATGTTAGCAAGTACATTTCATCCAGTTAGTCCTCAGTTAAGGAAACAAGTGTTATCAGCTGAAGAGGACATGGAATATGAAGATCTGGTCCAATCTTTTTTCAATTCTGATGACCAAGTCATTGACAGAAAACAGCCTCACTCATATAGAGTTTCTCATGTCCTTGGAGGAGCAACTTTTCAGAAGCTAGAAACTCCAGCCTTGAGAGTGGCTGAGCAGAAGCTAGAAACTCCAGCAATGGCTGAGCAGAACAACTTTCTAACAGAACTAGGGAACATCCCTGACATGGTAGCCTTGCTGGAGGAAGAGGGGGGGAGAATCAAAATCAAAGGCAGACGTCGCAGCAAGAAAGAGTAAACTATAGTTAAATCAGCAACTTGACATCTGCTACATAACATCTGCATATTTAACTTGACATCTGCAACTTGAATTTCCTCAAATGCAAATCATGTTTGGTTTTATTGATTTGATTTTAAAGTTAATATCAGATAAAATTTGAACTAAAATTTTGTACAGTTTCAACAAAATTATCATACACAACAATTATTTGTTTTTGGATTTGGTTAGACATGAAAAGAGTGACTCAAAGATTTCTTTTTGATTCATTATTATGAAGTGACTGAACATTAGAAGAAGACCTTTGAAATGATTGAACATTAGAAGAAGACCTTTGAAATGACTGAACATTAGAAGAAGACCTTTAACTATCAAGTTAGAAAAAACATTTGTTCTGAAAGAGAACACACACTAACAAGAAAAAACATTTTAAATACTTTTAAAAAAAACAACAACTTTGAATTAAGTGTAATTTTATCAATTAGTTTGGATCAGTCATTTCATTAAATTTGTAATAGATTTGGACTAAGGAAAATAAATCTGTGTGATTACAAATATTTTTACCAATTGTTGTTTTGCGCAATCTCATGCTATTAGCTTTCTTAATATGCGCTATAATACTATCACTTATCTGGACCAGTAGGAAAAGGAGGGGTGGGGAAGAAAGAAGGGGGAATCTGTGTGAATGTTACCGTGATCGCTTTTTAATGCATTTTATTTTTTAAATAGCTGTACGATTTGAATTCAAATTCGAAGGCTTAAACCAATACTCTAACCACTGTGCCAGCAAAGTGCTTATGAAAATAGGTTTTAGAGTTATCTATTGTTAGTTTTAAACTTTTAAGTGATGACTTAATTCTCTACACAAATTATAATGGTGACTAATTCAACTTTTTACCACTACATCTGTCAAGCACAATTTCTTTTCCTTGATCGATACCAAACAAAATTATTAATGACAAATAATTAATTTTAAATTTTGTATTGATTCTTGTTTTGTCAGGTACTATAAAAAATTGTGCAAACTTTCAACTTGATCTGAGATAGGATATGGGAGAAATAACATGTACAAAATTTTTACCTGACAGAGTTGATTTTGGTTTGTAAAAATGTGTAGGCACTTCATATTTTATGAATTATTTTTACTTTTTTCTATGAATTCAATGTTTTTTGGTATACCACTTGTATGTCATCCCTTGTACTACTTGTATCATCTCTTGTACTATTTGTGTGTTATTTCTTGTACTATTAGTTATTTCTTGTCTATTTGTGTGTTATTTCTTGTACTATTTGTGTGTTATTTCTTGTACTATTTGTGTGTTATTTCTTGTACTATTTGTGTGTTATTTCTTGTACTATTTGTGTGTTATTTCTTGTACTATTTGTTATTTCTTGTCTATTTGTGTGTTATTTCTTGTACTATTTGTGTGTTATTTCTTGTACTATTTGTGTGTTATTTCTTGTACTATTTGTGTGTTATTTCTTGTACTATTTGTGTGATATCCCTTGTACTATTTGTGTGATATCCCTTGTACTATTTGTGTGATATCCCTTGTACTATTTGTGTGTTATTTCTTGTACTATTTGTGTGTTATTTCTTGTACTATTTGTGTGTTATTTCTTGTACTATTTGTGTGTTATTTCTTGTACTATTTGTGTGTTATTTCTTGTACTATTTGTGTGATATCCCTTGTACTATTTGTGTGATATCCCTTGTACTATTTGTGTGATATCCCTTGTACTATTTGTGTGTTATTTCTTGTACTATTTGTGTGTTATTTCTTGTACTATTTGTGTGTTATTTCTTGTACTATTTGTGTGTTATTTCTTGTACTATTTGTGTGATATCCCTTGTACTATTTGTGTGTTATTTCTTGTACTATTTGTGTGTTATTTCTTGTACTATTTGTGTGATATCCCTTGTACTACTGCTTTTTTTTTTTAAAGTATTATCTAGCATTTCTATTCTATGATTAATTAGATGGGACTTCTCAATGTAGGTCCTAGTAGTGCACACACTTTATTCACTGGCATTTAGATTAGTTATATTATAATACTTAAGAACTTTTTTTTTACTACTGAGTCTTAAGTTCATTGATTTATTGGTATCTTTTGTAGTTTCTTTCAGCCACACCCACTTGTCCAACTACTTAGATTCTGATAGAGTTTGTAAACAGGTTTTCTTTCATTAGATCAGCCTTTTTGTTTGGTTAGTTTACCATCCCAATGTGTCTATACCATCCCAATGTGTCTATACCATCCCAATGTGTCTATTTGTTAGTATATCATCCCAATGTGTCTATTTGTTAGTATATCATCCCAATGTGTCAATTTGTTAGTATATCATCCCAAAGTGTCTATTTGTTAGTATATCATCCCAGTGTGTCTATTTGTTAGTATATCATCCCAAAGTGTCTATTTGGTAGTATATCATCCCAAAGTGTCTATTTGTTAGTATATCATCCCAAAGTGTCTATTTGTTACTATATCATCCCAAAGTGTCTATTTGTTACTATATCATCCCAAAGTGTCTATTTGTTACTATATCATCCCAAAGTGTCTATTTGTTAGTATATCATTCTAATGTGTCTATTTGTTAGTATATCATCCTAATGTGTCTATTTGTTAGTTTTTGTTCTTATTTGTAAGTCCCAGGTCAACTGGGTCAATCAACTGTTAGTCTCAGGCCAACTGGGTGAATCAAACGTTAGTCCCAGGTAAACTGAGTCATTTGTTATAAAAAAAAATAACTAGGTGTTGTATTAAAAATCTGTACATTACCTAAAACATTAATGAAACTTGTAGAGCAACTTTGCAATGTAATTAGTTTATTATAAATTTTAAAAAGCCATATTTCACTCGGGAAGTTTTATTGTTTGAATCATTGTTTCTCTATTTGCCTGTTTTGACTTTTTCAAATAAATAAATATTTTCTTTATCTGGAATTTTATATATATATATATTATATATTTAGATAATACTGGTCCGTGGCTCAATACATTCTATCTTGCTTGAAGGGAAATGTCACCGTGTTATTTTGGCCGTGTTGGTGACATAGGAGTAGGTGTAATCAGGATGAATGTATACTTCTATCATATAATGAGCGAATAACACATTGTATGGCTACCACCAATAATGATAGGTTTATTCTATGAAATATCTTGATATCAGCCCATAATACTGCAAGCATAGCAAGTAATAATCCTTCTTAGAAGTAGATTTAATATAGTGACTGGTACAAAATAACTGCTTATCTTATCTTATATAATACAGACGTTACTTCAAATAAGAAGATGATTACGTCCTACGTGTCATCCATTTAGTCATGCATGTTAACCCAACGACCTCAAGTCTGCTCTCTACTCACTCTTATAATAACTCTCTATACTGACAGCTCTCTAGCTCTGTTCACTACTGACTGCTCTCTAGCCCTGTTCATTACTGACTGCTCTCTAGCCCTGTTCACTACTGACTGCTCTCTAGCCCTGTTCACGACTGATTGTTATCAAGTCTTAATATCTACTGACTGCTCTCAAGTCTCAATATCTACTGACTGTTCTGAAGTCTTAACATCTACTGACTTCTTTCAAGTCTCAATATCTACTGACTGCTCTGAAGTCTCAATATCTACTGACTGCTCTCAAATCTCAATATCTACTGACTGCTCTGAAGTCTTAATATCTACTGAATGATGTCAAGTCTCAACATCTACTGACTGTCAAGTCTCAATATCTACTGACTGCTATCAAGTCTCAATATTTACTGACTGCTCTAAAGTCTCAATATCTACTGACTGCTCTGAAGTCTCAACATCTACTGACTGCTTTCAAGTCTAGATAGCTGAAGTATTTCCACTCAAAAACATGAGTGTTGTAAATTCAACTCAAACATGTACTTAAGGTGTTGTACTGTATGACACTAACTAAGAGGTTGGGAATTACCTGGTCGAATTTCATTCTAATGTATTTAAAAAGCAACATTTCGTTGCAAGAAAAAAATCATTTTGGACACTAGTGAAAAACATTTTTAAAAATACTTAAAGACCATACTTCTTGTGTACCGCTTATAAAACAACTATTTTTCTCTTAATAAAACTAATGAATGTTAGATTTTTAGTGGCCCCCGTAAAAAAAGCCACTATTAGGTTTATCCAAAATGTCCGTCTGTCACGCTCAAATCTCGAAAACTAGAAGAGATATCAAAAATATTATTTCACCATTAAATGCGGCTTGAAAGGTTTAGTTGCAACGACTACTTTTGGTTTTCTAAAAGCAAACCGTTTAATTTGTAAAATTAATTATGCAAGCCATTTTTCCATAAAAATACACCAATTCTAAAACAATTACGTTTTCGTAAGGGAGGCAATGTTACACTATTGTAATAACTGAAGGAAAGCAAACTCAACGAGACATAGATATTTATTTACAGGACATCACAAATACATGTAGAACAGCATGTCTTGAGCACAATCTCTCCATATTGGTTCTTTACTTGGGCGGAAATCGTTCTCTCTCTCATAATGTCAACATCCTTCCTGTCTAGTCACTGATAGTGCACACCTTCTATCTGCACTATCTTGGATGGCGATCTGCATGGCCAGGTTATAACAATATTGTTATAACTCTGCCAATCGCACCGCCATCTAAGCTAGAAGGTGCGCACTGTGATAATCTAGAGTAGGAAGGATGTCAAGAGGAAGCGACGGCCGATGGCCTCGTGGGCAACAGGCTCCCTGCCGTCTGTGGCTCCCATCGATCGACCTCCACCTGAACTGGCAAACCTCCACAGCACTGTTTCTTTTCGGGACGAAAAGCTTTAAGAAGGGGGCAATGTTATAACTCTGCCAATCGCACAGCCATCTAAGCTAGAAGGTGCGCACTGTGATAAACTAGACTAGGAAGGATGTCAACATTAGAAGAGGAGAACGATTTCCGCCCAAGTAAAGAGCCAATATGGAGAGATTGTGCCTAAGATAGATGTTGTTTTGTGTACCTGTGATGTCCTGTGAATAAACGTCTATGTCTCGTTGATTTGCCACACTTAAGTTATTACAATATGTTAACAAAGAAAGAGCAGTATCACTAAGTCAAATATATTTATAAAATGTACAAGAAATGTTTGCACAACAAATATAAATATTAGTTAAAGGTGTTTTTTCTGGTCAACTAGCTGCTAAAATTAAAAGAAAACATTTATGTTTGTTTATAAAGGCTAAGAATGCACTTTGTATGTAAATATCACGTACTTTTTTTTAAATGGAATTTTTATGCAGTGACTTTCGTGCAGGGTTCAAACCCAAAAAATGTAATTTAACATGTCCATTATTGGATACATATGTTTGCATTATAGTTAGATGTATATATAGATCATGCATTGATTCAATTATTCATTATAATTTCCAAACAATTATGTCAACATAATTCTATTGCTAGATCTAAATCATCAGTGTGATAGTATGTAAAAGGTTATAATTCTCACACTAAGCCATTGAGCTGCATCTGAACAAAAAGGGCATAAGAAACAAAAAATAGGTAATGAATTTGTTTTAAACTCCAGTATTGAAAAACAATAAAGATTATCCCTAATTAAGCCATAATAAAATTTAATGACTGAACCATTGGAACCAGTATTTGCATGTTAATGGTAATCCCTAATGGAAACCCAATAAACTTTACATTACTAAACCATTAGTATAATGGCTCAATAAGGATTATCCCTAATTGAGCCCTAATAAATATTTCTGCTACTAAAGCATTAGGCCCAGTATCGGACCGATAATGGCATAATAAGGGCTATCCCTAATTGAGCCCTAATAAATATTTAAGTTACTAAACCATTAGAGCCAGCATCGGACCGATAATGGCATAATAAGGGTTATCCATAATTGAATCCCAATGAAAATTTCAGTTAGTAAACCATTGGGGCCAGCATCGGAACGATAATGGCACAATACAGATTTTCCCTAATTGAGCCCCAATAAAAATTTCAGTTGCTAAATCATTGGGACTAGTATGGACTTGATTATGGAAATCCCCAATGTGGTTTTACTCATTCTGGGCCGATATTGGCACGATTAGGGCTGCCTCTATTGGCCCCTAATGGGGCCCTAATGACGCCTATGTGCAAACGATAACCGCGCCCATATTGGGCTATTTAGGGCTGCAATTAGGGCAAAGGGGTTTAACCTTAATCAAACCTGATACTGGGCCATAATGGGCATATTTATAGGGTTATTTAGTAACCAGTTTGTTATTAATTAAGTTATGAGCAAAATGCCTGGTCGAGCGGTTAGCGTGCTGAACTGATTATCTCGACGGTCCCAGGTTGTTTGTTTGTTTGTTTTAATGTTTTGAATGCCCCTTCACAGTTGAAGATAGTTTACTTCCTTGTCCAAACCTCCCGCAGGACGACGGGGGACGGGAGTGGGCAGGGTTTGAACCAGGGACCATCGATTAATCCGAACGACAGTCCATCGCGCAAACTGCAGGACAGGCAGGATTATACCCTGCTCGCCGCCAACCCCCAGCGTCCAGCGAGAAGTTAATTATTTTTAAATCCGAACATCCAAATATATAAAACAGAAAAAAAAACTTTTTTGTACAGAGGCAAATGAATCTTATTACTTTTGACAATCAAAATTAATATCGTCTTGAATATTCCTGCTAACAGGCGGATCCGACAGGGATCCGACTCCGACGGGGGCCGCCTCTGAGTTTGTGATAACACAAACTCTCTTTGTAACCTTGTTTATAATTTAAATTCTTTGCCCCGCCCCATTTCTCCAGAGTGGACAACGAGGTAATAATTCTTTTCCCAATGATAAACATCAGGCATCAAATTTTTGGAAAATATTTAGAGCCGTTTTCGAGATCCATATTCACCGAAGTTTTTCAGCCCACCCAGAAGGTTTTAGTTTCCACAAAAGTATAAGTTGAATAGAGGTAAAAAAAAAAAAAAAAAAAAAAAAAAAAACAATGACAGAAATTATTTATAGAAACACATAGGTTTATTTTTAAAAAGAAAGTTGCATTGTTGAGAAAAACACACACTTAAAAATGATCAAAAAGAAACATAGGACAGTTATTATTTAAAACAAAACAAAAACTCAGCTTTATTGCAGCAACAAAAAATGTGAACTTATTGAAGGAAAACCTGCTAATTACTGTCATATATTTCATCATGACAGGGTTTAGCTCCCTTTCTGCAATATAAATCAAAATTAATTTGTTTACTATTTGATAGATTTTTTATTGATGAATTTTATTGATTTATTGTCTTCGACTATGAATTCAACATTTCCACTTGGTTGAAGAATGGGAAATGGGGGAAAAATGTTCAAAAGTGCTCAAAATGTAATAAGGGAAATAACTCAACATATTCAGCCACATCCATCAATAAGAGGCACTTCTTTTCCTATAGCAAACAAAATTAGTAAACAATAATAAATTGACCAATTGGTTAACTTTATGATTGATTCACGTATTGTTAGGTAAAAAACAACTTGTGTGTGAGCTGGCGCTCCTAGATCTAATTTTTGACCTAATTTTATCTGATTTATATTATTTATATAGGCCAGGGCTATGATGTTTGTAATTTAGTGTCCTTTTTAATTTTTATAGTTCAGTGCTGAGTATTTTGTAGTTTCCGCTATTTATAACTTTCTGCTAGTTTTAGTCTTTTTCTGTTATTTGTGTTTTACTCGTAGAGGAAAAGTAGTTTTTAAAATAGTTAACTAGCCTTAGAGCTGTGGATGTTATCTCCTATTTTATGTCCTTGGTTAGTTCTGCTTATTTTTGTCTTTGGCATTAGCGTTGGATTGGTTGTTATTTTTTAATATCAGTTATATGCAGGTCTGTAAACGGTAGAGAGCCCCCATATTAATTTAGAATACAAATAACTTTTTATCTTCCTTTTTGTATTTTTGTAGGATTTAAATTTT